GGTTTTTATAATTCAAACCTATGGGCAGCCATGACAGTGCCCAATCTAGGTTTTTATAATTCAAACCTATGGGCAGCCATGACAGTGCCCAATCTGGGTTTTTATAATTCAAACATATGGGCAGCCATGACAGTGCCCAATCTAAGATTTTATAATTCAAACCTATGGGCAGCCATGACAGTGCCCAATCTAGGTTTTTATAATTCAAACCTATGGGCAGCCATGACAGTGCCCAATCTGGGTTTTTATAATTCAAACATATGGGCAGCCATGACAGTGCCTGATCTAGGGTATTATAATTCAAACCTATGACAGTGCCTGATCTAGGGTATTATAATTCAAACCTATGACAGTGCCTGATCTAGGGTATTATATTTCAAACCTATGACAGTGTCCGATCTAGGGTGTTATAATTCAAGCTTAAGGGCAGCCATGGCAGTTGCCGATTATTATAATCAATCAAAGTCTATGGTACAAGAGAGTCGCACGTAGCGGTTCTTCGATTTTGTGTAGCCTACATGTATTAAGAACAGCTTATCGAATTCCTTTGAGCTTTGTAGAGTGAAGTGGCCACTGTCAGTCGGCGAGAGCTGACGAGTTTGCTGGTATGTTTCGCTGTCTGGCTGGTTACATGGTCGGTCGGTTGCATGCTGGGGGTGGTAGGAGGTTAATTATGAGATGAGAATATTATGAAGGTAGGCGAGCTGGCTAGCATGCAGGAAAGTAGGTCGGTAGGAAATGAGTAGATGGATGGGTAGGTAGGTGGGAACGGAGGTAGGTAGGTAGGTCGATACGATGAGTGAGTGGGCTGGTGGATGGATGGTGAAAATTGTGAAACGGTATTGGTTTAACGCCTCTATCAACACTGTTAGGTTACCGTGTTCAAGAGGTTGGACCTTCGAGTTTTACGTACATCTCCGAACGAAAGGACCGAGCCAGTTGGGAAATTCGTGTAAAGTGACTTTCCCAAGGACAAAACGTGGATGGGTGGGTAGGTAGGTAGGTAGGTAGATAGGTAAGTAGGGAGGTAGATAGATTTTTAAAAGGTATGTAGATAATCAGTCTGCTTGACTGACTGATCCGTTGGATATACGAATGGTCAGTTGGTTGGTTGGGGAACTAGCTGACTGATTGTGTATCTGGCTGGTTGGTTGGTCAGTTGGTTGGTTGGTCGGTTGGTTGGCTGTTTGGTTATTTGGTTGATTGGTTGGTTGGTAGGTTGGTAGGTTGGTTGGTTAGTTGGTTGGTTGGTTGGTTGGTTGGTTATTTGGTTGATTGGTTGGTTGGTTGGTTGGCTGGTTATTTGGTTGATTGGTTGGTTGGTTGGTTGGTTAGTTGGTAAATTGGTTGGTTGGTTGAGCGTTTAGCCGGTTTTTTGTTTGGAAGTTAGATTAATAATTTAATTAGTCCGTAAAACTCGTTTCCATCTCTCGTCCCTATTTTTTTTTTTTTTAGATGTACACATGCTTCAAACACGGGAAGAACAAGATGGTGGCCCGAGCAGGCGACAACGTGCTGGTGGCGCAGACGACAGAGACGTGTGTGGTGGTGGCGCGATCCCTGGATGACACACCTGGTTCCTGTCTCTACGAGGTGGCCGAGTTTACTGACGCCCTGGCTGACCGGGGGTGGTGAAAGGAAAGGTGCAAAGTGGACGTGGTTTAATAGTGCGGTCCCAAATTTGGGGTGCAACTTATCCTCAAATATCTCTTTAACGGGTGAATCAGTGAAATCCATACTTTGCATAACAAAAGCAGTTTGTATCAATTAATTGTCTTAACTAAATCATATTTTTCTAGAACAAATGGGGCTAGATTTTAAAAAAATTCTTCATAAATTGATATAAAATACTTGAAATCTCTGTCACGAATAAAATGGTATTGTTCACAGCACTTCCCGCTTCTCACTTTACACACATTTTGATTACGCATATGGCCTACGTCACAGTTCATCAATGACATATGACCTTGGCAGTTGCGAGCGTCGTAAAACCTTATACTACTACTACATCAAAGACAATTTTTACTTGCAAAATTTGTAACAAGAAATTATTGTTATAGTGAACACTATGTTTGCACTAATGGCTCTCAGAACATGCGTTCAATAAGCATAATGTCCTGATTAGAAAAACCTGACGGACTTGCTATTAAAAGCTAGATCTATATTGCCCCAGCTGTAAACATCTAAAAATATGTAGAAACCACCCACTTGGACTTTTTTTTATTAGTATATATTAAGGAATGTTCTAGAATACACCTTGCAGGTGTTTACAAAAATGTAGATCAGTCACTGTGCAAAAAATGGAGAACCTATGTTCAAATAG